GATAGAAAAATTTAATGAATTTCAAATAATCATGTATACAGTAAAAAAACCTACCAAAATAAAGTCTATCAAAGAAACATTTTAAAGAATCGGTACTAAAACAAATAAATCATATAGATGGTATCAGAAAGACACTGAAAATGACAAATCAGATGAACAATTTGATTCTAGTAGACCTTGTTATCAGAATTAGAGCCATCTTGAAAATAAGGACTTTTTTTCTGAACAATTCTGTGATTATAATGCCTCCTTCAGTCAAGTAATACAAAGGTCTGCTGAAATGAGTATAAAATGAAAGAGATCATTGCTAAATATATATATTGTATAAATCGAAAGCCTAATAAAAAAGAAATCAGGTTAGTAAAAGCAAATAAAACTCAGCTCATAACAATAAACCTAGCCATAAGAGATCCTTCATATCTGCCACTGTGAAGTATTATATAGATATTTGATTCTGGAAAAACCTAAAGAACAAAATCTAGCCTGATTAGTAAAATAAAGTATAAAAAAAAAATTTTTATCTTGAATTATAAGTGAATGCACACGATAGTTATACGTAAAGTTAAAAAGTGTATAACAAGAGTATTACTATGCTCTTTGTCTTAGACATGGACATGAATAGAGTTATGTTTGACTTTTAGTTTTTCTATTGTTTTGAGTTTTTTGTATTTGTAGACATATATGACAGTTGTACACAGAGTTAAGGATGTATGACAAGGGTAATTCTGTTAATTCTCTTTATATAAAACATGGACATATTTTTGTTATGTTATTTTTTTTTAAAACTTTTTGTGATTTTATGTTAGTTTTAGTTTTTAGTTTTTATTTTCAGTATAAGAACATAGATTTTTCACTAATAGTAAATAGAAAAAAAAATTATCACTGTACTTCAAAAAAAGCACATGTGATCAGGATACCTAAAGGCCAATATATTAGATTTTTTATGGGATGTGAAAAATTAAGGTAGAAAGAATTGTTACTGGCAAAATCATGTTCTTCCAGAATCCAAGAATTATGCAGAATGATGCATGTAGGATTGGGGTGTCACATCGACTATTAATCAAAACTATGTTAGTTAACTATATAATTTATAATATTGCAGATTTTTTATGTTACACAAATGCAAATCAATTTCAATTTATTTCACTATACAATAAGGCTATTGCTATTACATTATACGATAAGACTATTTACGACCAAATAAATCTTCGAACAATTTATTAGCACTTGCTTCACGATTACTATCGCTATTGTTAAGATTTTCTTTGATTGAAATTGAATTATTTGTAAGTTCAGTTTGCCATTGACGTTTTTTAATTCTAAGCTCTGTTAAATCTAAAGAATTACAACTGATTTCAGTAAGCGATAAACTTGCAAGCCACAATTTTAATTGTTGAAGATTACTTGTCATATTCGGATGGGTTTTAAGATCCCACTTATTGAACAAGCCTTCAACTTGTTGTTGGTGTACCAAAAT